CCTTCAGACAGGTAAGACTCGCTTTCTTCAGATAGCTGCAGGTCCTTCCTTTCACGTGCTTCCCGTCTTACCACTAAGGAGCATCGCTTTTCTTTCGGCACTTCATAATTTCGTATCTCTATGTTGCGTCATTAACAAATCTACAAACTCAGTCATGTAGTCATCTTTCTCAGTTATCCATTTACACATATTCAGCACATGTACGCAGCCGGCCACAGTGACCGGGCGGTCTAAAGCATAAACCGTCTTCGCGCGCTCAAACATTGGGATCGTACTTTCGAATCCCACTTTAGGCATGAATATCTGTATGCGTTTATTCTATGTTTATTTTGTCATGTGTGTAGGCAGCGGTCTTGCGACGGGCTGATCCCCCATCCAAGGAGCCCTAACACCTGTGTAAAGATCAAGGAACTGAAAAGGCGGCTAAGGTCCAACAAAGGTCTGTGGAGCCATAGCGCATGTGATTGATATTAGGCTAATCTTATTCCTTGCCGGTCACGGTAGCCGAGCGGTCTAAGGCATGCTCTGTCTTCGCTCGCTCGGAAGCAGGGATCATGGTTCGAATCCCACTCAGGGCATGGATGTTTGGTATGTGCATGTGTTTATTACGTGTTTGTGTTGTCCTGTGTTTAGGTAGAGGCCTTGCAACGAGACGATCACCCGTCCTAGGAATCCTAGAGTCTAAAAATGATCAATGAAACTGAAAAGTAAGCCCTGGGCTCCAAAGTGGGCGCAAGAGGAGAGAAGAATCTTGTTCCTTAGTAGCATACCTTTACACTTAACAGCGGCAACTCAGAGAAAGTGTTTTTGGATTCAATTTCAACGAATCATTTAACTGTGTCCCCAGAGTAAGAATCACCTTACTGTACCGTTTTAAATATCATTGATGTGTTTCACCAGCAGAAGGTGATATAAATTGTTGCGTGTTCTTTAGAAATTTGCTAGACTCTATTAACAATATGTCAGAGTAACCGAAATTGTCATACTGAAACTATCATTGAACCCACAGGACTTTCCTTCCATAAATTTATAAGCTAGAATTTTATTATCAATTAAGCTTAAAATTCTGAGCTCATCCTAAGAATAACTGAATATTTCGCCGTATGTTTACGAAACTCGATAGAAGTTCTAGTTGTTAGGAAACGGTACCCTCCACACAATTCAAATTTCCTTCCCTCAGCCAGCCCTAACATGGCTACACTGCGAACAGCTTAGCTGAAAACAACATTACAGAAACTTGATACAATCTGAGCGTAGGGTTATTAGTATACTGGCATAGCAACCTTTATAAAATTTGCAAATTTCATAGGTAATTCTAACTGAAAATATAAAATTAGCCAAAGATGTATTTTATATATTGGTGAACTATCAAGGCCCATGCTGTAGATCGCGTGTTAAGGAGAATGTATTTAGTTTCTCTCTAAACTTTCCCAATTCCCCTCTTTTTTATTTCATCATCTCTCGTTTTAATTTTTGTTTGTAGCATTTTTTTTTGTTCTTTTGTTTCTGTATATTTCATTCTTGATCATTAAAAATGTAATTTGACACAGAATCCTTACATAGAATGTACGTGTGTATGTGTGTGTATACACACACACTAATAATAGAAGGCGCTCGTAAATCTCCTAATTTCTTAAACAGATTGACACTGAATGTTTGCCAGAAATTTCCACACATAAAGGTCGCCCACGGATGAAGAACTCGAATATCTATTCAAAGAGTTTTCCAAAGTTGTATACAATCAATGATAATTTTACTACAGAAACTACACAATCACTTCTTCAGTGAAGTTCCATGGGACAAATATATGGAAAAATACATTAGTAGCTGATTACGAAATCAATGCTTTTAATCCCATAATGATACAAAATCACCAGCAGCACAAAATAAACACAAAATCAGAACCATACAATTATCTACCTCAGAATGGACTTTCTTGATTGATTGCCCCATAATTCGTAATCCATCAAATTAATTTGTTAAGCTCTTAAACTCGCCAAAGCTGCTTGGCCCTCAGTTTAGAAGCGAAGCGAATGTGCACAACAGTGAAGAAGGGAGCCTAAGTAACATCACTTGTCTGTTTAAAACGGTCCAATTTCTTTACAACTGTTGTTGAATTAATTCTCTGCTCTAGAGTTATAATTCGCATTTGTGCTACAAATCTATGTTAAAGTGTGGCGCTCCTTAGAAGAGACCCGAAAGAGAGCAACCCAAACGGAAATTCGTTGTGAAAATCTCAGAGAAGAGGCATATATCTCTTGTGCTTTGAAAGTGATCATATTTCTATTACAGTCTACTTTCAAGCAATTGAACGGAAGCAGTACAATAAAACTATCAGATATTCTATATGTGAGACACACCACAAAGTCAATAAGAAGTATGAAAATTTCGCTACAACCCATATTAGGATTGTTCCCTCATAAGAGATGCAATATGCGTTTCATCAATATTTTCATACACGTATATGTAAGTGGTTGATTATTACAATGAGTGAATACTTTTAAATTAGCTGATCCTGGTCTTACCAAACGGAACCATGAATTTTATTCCGGTTCTCTGGGTTCTTGATGCTCTTATCTTCAGATTGAAGGAACACTCTTTCATAGTGCGTATCACAACAAACATTTCTCACTATTCATTCAATGTTTACAGGGTATAAACCGCTGAGTTCAAGCATCTGCTTTAGATATGTGGAGAACACGGTATAATTCTGAACATTGCTTTACTTGTGTTACATATGTAAAGCGGTTACATGTTTAAAGCGGACATCGTCCTCCTGTATTTCAGCAGACTTAAGTAGAATTAATTGAAACTGAAGGTGCTAGCTTACTGTTGAAATCATTATCCTCACGACCATAGGAGAGTAAGACAATCCTTTGAACTCTGCAGATGCTGAACGAATAGAACGGCGAGATGAACGATATTTTAAAACCCACGGTTTAGAATCATAGACTCTTATATTTATTTATTTTGAAATATGAAGACCATTTTCAACCGAGATATACACACGCCTCCTCTCATGCTTGTCATAATGTTTCTTTGAACTCTTTAGCCTCAACTTTTTTGTCGGTGATGAGACTACTCATATTGGTATAATTGTCTTCATACGGAGTTCACGCGAAGAACATCTCACTTCTAACGCAACTTTTCTATGTAGATAGCTTTTTTATAAAAGTAAGATATCGTTTTCATTAAAATGCTTATTTAGAAGAACACCTGTAAGTCTATTATTTATTCAGTAGTGAATATTGTGAACCAATTGTGAATACTCAAAGTAAGAACCGCGCATCTCACAAATTAATTGTGTGAGGACTGCAGAAAGCTTTATGATACAAAAATTCCGTGGCCTGTAGCCCGCAAGCGAACTTTACCCACCGAGCGACCGCCGCTTGTCGGCGAAGTTAGTGTCAACTTTAGCGGATAGGGGGTATCGCGTGGCCAGCGCAGCGGATCCCCACGGCCATTAATCTCGGTTTTCTAGACCGGCCATCGATGTTTTTAACCAAACTTTTATAAATACTAGATATAGCTGATAAATATCTGAATAGTGTTAAAATTTTTATTAAGTACGCCCTTGCTTTCGAGTAGAGGAAAGATTCCATTCGGGAACGTACGAAGCTTTTCAAAACCGGTGCAATAATCCATACGGCTAGAATGTTCACAAGGTGGCAGATAAGGTGATGGAATTTTAATTCATAAGCAGACGGAATGACTACATTTCTTAGGCAGTTTACTGCACAAATGTTTGTGTCAGAGGGTCCTAAAATTGGTTTAGAAATCTGATACTTCCTCAGGCACTCCCAAGGCGTATGCTGCTTAACATCAGAATAATAAGAAGACACTCCAATAAAGGACTGCCAGTACAATGGAGTTCAGCCACTTGGAGACGGGAGCAGATGCAATTTATTAACCGGTTTGGCCATATCATAGCTCAGGCGGTTAGTGGGCGGTTTCCCACCACAGAGGCCCGGGTTCGATCACAGGTCATGACATGTGGAATTTTTGTTGGATATAGCGGCGCTGTGGCAGGGTTTCTGCAAATACTTCGGTCTCGCGTGCCACTTCTTATTCTAAGTTCTGCTGCATACGATTACAAAAGACAAGTCCGTCCAGTGTGACTATTTCAGTTTTCACTTGATGATTCACTAGCCTTACATGTTTCGATCCATTTGGATCATCTTCAGAGGCACCAAACACTTTTTAGAAACCACTATCACAACAGTTGTCATATCAAATACACATGTAATGTCCAAGTACACAATGTTCCATCTATCACTCACAGCAGCCTTTCTGGTTATAGAAATATTTAAAGTTGTTTGAAGTTTTAAAAATTTGTTAAAAATTAAAATACATAAACCATACGGTTCGTGTCAATAACCCCTGTCGTCTCCCTTCATGGTGGCCGATGTTGTGCCTCCTATGTAACTTGAGTAGGGAGATTCTTAATATTGTCCGTTATGATTTCTTGGCACAGCGTGTAGTCCAGTGAAAGCCGTGAAAATTCTTACAAATCAAAGTCAAAGTCACATTGCGACTGATGGTCAGTCAGTCTGTCTGTCTTGGTGTCACGCCCCAGCTGGGGTTCATGACCAGATTTATTTTTCTTTTTGTTTTTTCCTTATATGAAAGTTACTGTCCTCTCCATTTGGAGCGCCCTCTCTGACGATAGGTCGGGTCTGTCATTTGTCAGTCATAGTCCGTATTAGTAAGTACATTGTCAGTATTTTCATATATTTACAAATTTAATCTTAATTCCTATTTCTATGTACAATATATACAAGGCCTCTGTCAATGCAGGCTCAGTACAGCAGATTATGCCCTATTTCTAGTAGTATTCGCTACCACGGCAGTCTAATCACCTGAACGGTCGTAGGCTTGACCGCCGCCAAGTTTAAGCCTCTTACATTTTCTGTGTCGGGCTTCGCCTTGTCAGTGTTTACAAATGCTGAATTATGCGATTAAATTCCAAAAACACAATGCCATCCTGCTGTTTCTAGGCAATGGATCTCATCACCCTGCTACTTCCTGTGACAGCCATGGGCGTGCGCAACCAACTCGCAGCATGCGCTCGAAGCAGCTTCCAACAACTGCAACCCGGCCCCGTGCTTGTCCTGATACCACGTGGTAGCAGCAATCTCGCGTTTGAATTGCTACAGGAACTGCATGTCATTGGACACTGGGCTGTGTTCATAAGCAGTGCAGATGGTGTCGTGGTGGAGTCCTCTGAGAAGCCTAGCAACATTGTCTTGCTGCCTGTTTCGAACCAGACTGAACTAAGGAATATATTGAGGAAAATGGCTGCATGGAACTCCCGTGCCAGGTTTCTTATACTTACGTTCGAAGAGACAATTTCACGCCTCGCCTTGCGTGAGTTCAGTGAGCTGAATGCGGTGAATGCTGTTGTCCTTGTATTCACTCCCAACAGTCCTAATGTAAAAGCATATACCTGGTTTCCTTACCTACCTCCGGGACAATGTGGGAATGAAAAATTTAAACCAGTGCTTTTAGATGAATGTTTGATGGAAAATAGTGCAGTTTTCTTTCGAAATATGACTCTCTTCCCCCAGAAAGTTCCGTTTGATTTGAGCGGGTGCCCCATTATTGTCAGTACGTTTCCATGGCCACCATTTATTATAAAGTCACAGGAAAATAACGAAACAGACAAAGTATTTTACACTGAAGGTTTGGAGATAAAACTTATAAGTATTATTGCACAGAGCATGAACTCAACAATACAGTATCTGCCTCCTCCGGCGAATGAATCCAAATGGGGAGGTCGAACTCCATCGGGTACGTGGAACGGGCTACTGGGTGAGGTGTTCTACAAGAGAGCCGACGTGGCGTTCGCCTCCATGACGGCGACGGATGAAAGAAGGCAGCTCTTGGAGACGACGGTCAGGTACTGGAGCAACTCGGTTGTGTGGGTCATACCGCGACCGAAGTTCATCTCAGGCTGGAGGAATCTCCTTGGGATCTTCAAGCCGATGATGTGGGGGATCGTGGCACTGGCGTACCTACTAGGCTCCGCTTTTCTCTGCACCCTCGGTCGCACAGTGCGTCATCCGATGGAGCCAGCATTGTATCGAAACCCAGGCAGCTGCATGATGGCCACCTGGGCTCTGTCCTTAGAGATAGGAGCACACGTGCATCCACGCGGGCTACTAATGAGGCTGGTATTCATCTGTTGGGTGATTTACTGCCTTCAGATCAGTACAGCCTACAAGTCCTCCCTCATCAGTTTCCTGACTAATCCCCGCTTTGAGCCTGCAATCTCGAACATGAAACAGCTGGTGAAGTCCCATCTGGGGTTTGAGTACACAGTCGGTCTGGCAGAGTACTTTGATGACCCTGCGGATTCCAGCATGAGGCGGATTCGCAATTCTCTGCGATTTTGTCACAATATCACGGACTGTCTGAACAAAGTTGCGGTGAGTGCAGACATAGCCCTTGTGTCCGACAAGTGGTACGTGGAGTACCTCATTCCCCAGCTGTACCTGGACAGCAGTGGCCAGCCTCTATTGCAGACACTGCCGCAGGAAGTGCTGAGTTACCATGTCGTCATGGTCCTCTCTAGAGGAAATATCCTTCTGGACCGCTTCAATGAGCTCATATCCCGAGTTGTTGAATGCGGCTTAATGGAAAAGTGGGCGAAAGACATTAGGCGCACGCGTAGGTTAGGGCCGATGTCCCAGGGCGGTGCAGGAGAGCGCAGGCTCGGTATTTCGCATTTGCAAAGTGTGTTCGTCTTTCTGCTACTTGGAGAAAGTGTAGCTCTGGTGACGCTGATAATTGAAATGATGATTCCCAAAGAACACTGATCACCTGTATGTAGGAATATGACTATAAGTCTGCATCTCTCTTCCCCTTTCCCAGTCAAAACCTTCTGTTCTTCATCACCATAATCACCCGGGGCCGGTACAATAGACCAATCAGTGCCGAGTGGACCTAGTTGGCCTCCACCCCCCACTAAGCGAATTCAATAAAAAACTTCTTAACTTGTAATCTAAGTGTACGGACCTGTGCAACGTCTATGTCTCAAGTCCTATGGAACTGGGCACTTTTGCTTGTGTCCCTTCAGTAGATTTGGTACAATTGTAATATATCGGCCCCTCACAGTGGCCGCGCGGCCTAAAGCATGAAATGTCTTCGTCCGCTCGAACACTGGGCTCGTGGGTTCGAAATCCACTCAAGGGATGGATGTCTGTTAGCGTTTATTCTGTGTTTGTATTAGGTACCGGCCTTGCGACGGGCTGATCCCCTGTCCAAGGAGTCCTACCAACTGTCTAAGATTAAGCAACTGAATTGAAATAAAGTGTTTCACAGATATGTTGTGTGCTCCAAGTGGGAACAACAAGAATATAAGAAGAACAAGACAGAATATCGACATCCGTATATTCGTAAGGCAGCATTATCATGAACATTAGTTTTCAGCATGTCGTTTAGGCACAGCAGTTTTTAAAAACTATCAACTGTTATAAAATGAAATTCTCTATTCCATATGCTATTTCATTCCTTTTTCTTCCGTAAAAGTATTTGTAAAAGTAAGAGAGTTTCAACGGTTTAAAACAACTTAAGCCTATATATATTATTAGTATTCATTTTTTTTCATACTTCTACATTATAATTCTCGGTGTTATATTTATTAACTATCTAACATTTTCATACCTTACTCACTAGTTTTTCTGATGTAGTTCCTAGGAATGCGATGAAAGAAGATTCTTGCTTTAATTTCTTTAGCTTAACAATTTATAATTTTATAAAATTTATGTAAATACTAATGAGTTTTAAAAGCAGTGTGCTTTCATATCAAGTACTGACATCGCGAGGCTTAACAAATTCACAGCTCAAAGAACCCCCAAATTCCGAGAACATAGTGGACAACACTGACAGGATATCCCTCGTGACAGTGCTTTAGAAAGTATATAGACACCACCTTCCTCCATATTTTACTAGACTCGCTGTATAAAAATGCATTTAGACCACTGCGCATTGCATTCTCATTACAGATATTTTGACTTCTAGATTTCTCATGAGACGATCTGCACGTGTTGCACCTTCTCGTGCTGTGTGTACTTCTCACGTTTGTCTCAGTATGAATGTAGATTAAATATTCCTCGAAACGCTCTCACTAGGAATGAAACGTATATTTCGTTTTATGTAGAACTCTTAAGATATAACTAATTAATATACACTACTAAAATTTTCCTACCCCATTACGTTGAACGTAAGCTTTGCATGTAACTGGCTCAGGACAATTTTCCATCAACGGTCTGAGAAAGTGCGTTCTTGTTCTGTCTGATACTGAAGCAAAGTCACAAGGCGGAGAACGAACTGGTGGGATATTCGCTTGTGCCCAGAGCATCCCTAGAGTCTCTTGGATATCCGAATGCTTTCCGAAAGTTTTCTGTTTAGGCTAAATACTATGAGTGCAGAACAATATTCAGGCATTCCGCTCTTAAAGAGTTCTATCCTCTGGAATATAACGCTGTGTAGCCCTTGAAAGTCAACTGACGTTTCGGAGGCATATGTCTCCTTCATCTTCAGGATTGTAGAATAAGCCCAGCAAGAGATCAGCATCAAAGAAAATTCTGTTTCACATCAGCTTTTGCTCTTGTTTCTTGCTCGGTTTATTCTTCCTCCTGAAGATGGAAGCAACACTTCCTTCGAAATGTTGGTTTACTTTAAACGGACTACATGGCATTGTAACCTAGAAGACAGAACACTTCATAACTATCGCTGTGAGACCCTTAGACCCTACTTTGCTGCTAGAACTTTCATGGAAATTTCAGTTTAGTATCTTAATTAAGAAAACTGTATCAATATATAAGAAGAGCATACTATATAAATTATGGAAAAAACGCTAACACAAAAATCTTAAATAAATGTAATATCCTGTAAAATACAGATGCCATATATCCGGCTGTCTAAACGTTCTTTTGGTCACTTGCATTAATGCATGATACTCTGCAATACCACTCTGCAATTTAACATCAGGGTTTAATCTAATATTTACGATAGTCTGAGAAATTCAAAGTTTCATAATAGCACTATATACCACATTGAATCAATTAGTGAGATTGGAAACAGCTTATATGACCGCATGCCATATCACCTGACTCAATTTAAAAATCAATTTCCTGTTTCCGCATTGTACATTTAACATGTCAAACAAAAATCGTTCTCTTTCCTGTATATGCTATCAGTTTCGAAATATTTTCAGTCTTCAACAGGCCTTATAGACATGCAGACCCTTTAGTTAGTTAGTTAGTTATTGGAGAGGGTGGGTTTCCCCATGCACTGAGACCTGTATTGGTCCATTGTGCTTCCCTCTATGATTTCTACCTGTCTCTATATCCTACCGGTACTGGTGCTTACCATCAGTCCCGCCCAGCCAGCGAGACCGGCTCTACTAGCTGAGAGGTATCTATAATGCTTTCCCCATCTACCAGAGGTATTAGAGACTGCTGTTGGGCGGGAAACGTCCGTTAATTTGGCTCAGTAACCTCCTTTGGAGATACGAGGTTCTTTTATGTGCCGTAAAGCTACGACACGGGACCCACGGCTTAAAGTCCCTCCCGGAGGACTTGTTCCCTGAATTTTTCCGCCCTTAAAAATTCAACGACCTCCGCCAGGTATTTGAACCCGCGTACTACGAGTCATGAGGTGGGAACGTTACGTCTAGACTACGGAGGCCGCTTGCAGACCCTTTACTAGAAATCTACCGCGAAATAAGCAACTATACCATAGACGTTGCTAGGTAATGTCTCAGCAAACAACGGCTGTTGCTAGGCAATTACCGAGTAGCTTCACTTTGAAACCCCACCACATACAAACGCAACAATTGCACAGCAACAGAAGAATTGTTTTCTGTGCGGTCCGTGCACATATGTTATAAGTAGGACAAAGAGTAGTCTGAAAGTTCCCAGAGACGTCAGAGAGTAAAATATGATCATGGGTACCGTGGGACTCGGAACCAAGCATCACTATAATGGCAAGGGCCAGCAGCAATTTAGCCGTCAGTCAACTGAGGCAGTAAACCGTCACCTTCCTCCAGACACATCAGCGGAAGTTAGTTGACAAAGGTGAAGCCTTTTCATATGAGACAAACCCATCCTCTCGTCAGAGAGGATGTTACATAAGGGCTACGACCGCAAGAGTTCAGTTGAAAAGATCTCTGGTAGTGGTCGTGGCGTCAAGAAGAACTAATTGGCAGTAAAGTACAAGTCCTTAGCAGCGGCCGTCTATTCTTGCTCATTAAATCCTGTTGCCTGGCAGCGAATGTTGTTTGGTTGTTTGTTTCGCGGTCGCTGCCTAGAAACAGGTCTATATGTCAGAATAGCTTCTCTTAATTGTTAGCGTATTTCACAGCGCTGTACTATAACCTCCAGCTGAGGTTCGCATGTATCTCATTGCACGTATTCTTTGTTATTTCTAAATTCTTTCGGGTATATTTCCTCTTACATACTTCATGTTACTCTTCCTGTCATGTTTATTATTTCGTTGCGTCGTGTCGTGTCTGTCTCTGGCTCCTGTGCGTGATACAGTATCATTTAATATGTAATATTTCAAAGAAAATTAGATAATAATATGTTGTTCTACTTTGCATGTGCTTCGCGTACAGTTACTTTTTCTTACTATAAATATTATCGTAATATTGATTAACTGGTAATTCTGTAAAATAACTGGTGATTATTTATAATTAAAAATAATTTTGTATAATCGCGTGTTATTTTCTTTCCACATGTATAGGTCCCTACATATTGCTCTCCCAAAGTACCTTCATATGTAACTTTATGGAATAAATCATAACCGTTTTTAGTTTTAAGGCCGATCACGGTGGCCGCGCGGTCTAGGGCATGAACTGTCTTCGCTCCTTCGAACATTTGGGTCGTGGATTCGAATCCCACTCAAAGGCATGTATGTTTATTTGTGCGTTTATTCTGTATCTGTGTTGTCCTGTGTGTACGTAGCGGCCTTGCGACAGGCTGGTCACTCGTCCAAGGAGTCGTACCGTCTGCGTAAAGGAGATTAAGAAACTGAAGAAGAGGCCGGGGGCCAACAAAGACCCATATATCCATTGAATGAATGGATGAATGAATTTAGTTTCAAGACTCTTGTGTTATTAATATAAATTTAATGACATAAGGAATTATAACTTGGAAAATAGACATAATATTCTTAGACATTCCATAAGTGTATACTTTTTCTGTGAAATGAACGTTTAATACTCTTCACTCTGTGACTGTAAGGGATAATTCCATTGATATATAAGAGCTTTGAAAGAATTAAGAAATTCTGAATTTCGCAAAGAAGGAACTTCAACTATAATTACTGTGTAATCTCGTAGACTTGCAGGTCTCTACTGTAGTTGAGTGAATTTAATTGACTTGCTACATATACGCTGCCGTTGCAACAGTATATACTTAACGTCGGACAAACTACAGGACATATTGATTTGCGGGCTGCGGTTAAGGCTGACGAACTGTAGCTGCAGTAATTCATGATTGTCATGTCAGATATGAATATATTGCAAAACTCTATTCTCTTCGTCAACAACCCTTATCCATTTCTTACTTAGAAGCGGGTGAGTAATGTTTCTGCTATAAATTCTCCTCCCCTCTTAAGTGTTGTTAGTATTATGCGGGCTTGTTGAGAGACGGAGAGTTCGCTAATTGGGAGAACTTTCTCCATATGTGTTACAGGCATTTACAGTGCCTCTCATTCAATGGCAGTTGAGTCATTTTGTGGAGTTCACCTTTTACTGATGTGTTCCAGTATTGTGATTAACTCGGTAAGAGGCTCATATTGTGTTATTACAATCAATAAACTGCTTTACTTAATATACACATCACTCAAATGAGGGCAAGTGACTTCGATTATATTCAGATATTAACAAGGAACGGTTATAACGGTTATAAACACCATTTCTCTCAATTAGAAACAGATACTGAATCAGCAAGAAGCAATGCCAAATCTTGCCTCATAAGAATCTGGAAAAAAACATATATAAGAGTTCCTTTTTAAAATATTTGTATGAAAAAAGTGTTTCTGGATCAAGTTATAGAATTATTCTCAATAACTCAATTTAATTTGTAGTTATTCATCATAATATTCATGTTACTAAGTAATTTTCCACCAATCGCTCAAATGAAATTTGTGTATGTTATGGAAAGTCGTGTAAGTATGTATAATTTAAAAGAAGACAGAGAGAAGACGGCGATTAGAGAAAGTTTTATATATATATAAAGGGTAAGTAAGTGATTATTGGGCAATTTACAACAGGAAGTGCAGTGGTTTAGAGTGGAATGGCGTGGGAAGATGGCCGTAAGTGTTTTATACCTAATTTTCAAGAAGGAGAAAGTGATGGGCTATATAAGAACACTATCCTGGAATTTGCGCAGGGAAATCTGGACGGAACGAGGCAGAACCTCAACCAGAGGAGCTGTTAGTCTGACATCTAAGAAAACAATGCTCCTCTGGCAATTTGCTACGTACAAAAATTATTAATCCATTTAAATAAAAAAAGATCTTGTAAAAATAATCACACATCAACTTCAGACACAAAATACCTTTCACTTCATTCCCTATTATCTCTGTAGAAAAGATCTTGTTGACCAAACATAGATTTATGTTGATAGCAACCCCATATAAGGATAAATGTGTATACAGTTTCTTGTATATCCAGCTGTAAAATAGCTTAATAAAAGTTCCTTATGATGCCACTTTGCTGTTCACTACATCTACAGAGGAGGAAAATGTGTTGCGCACACGAACATAGTTTTGGGCTTCCTTTTCTTATATTCAGATAATATCCAGGATATGGTAGTGTAAGCAAGGCAACAAGGCTTTCAATTCGTGTTGAAAGAAAATTTCAGTTCGAGTCCTCAATTGCATAATAATGAAAAGCATTGGACTAACACAGGTATCAATAATACACTATATATAAATATAACGCTAAAGAAAATTTCTAGGACATGAGGTTCTCACTTTGGTAGTTATGAAGAAGTCTATCCTCTGAATATAACGCCTTGTAATCGGCTGAAATTCAACTAACGTGTAGGACTAGAATATCGGCTGCATCTTCAGGGTTGAACAGTAAATCAAGTAAACAAGAAAGCAGAACTGCCTTGGGGCACTTCACCTTACTTACCGGTGGACTGTGGCGTGAAAGCTGCAGAGATTGCATTCAAGTAAGAACTAGAAGTCATTCAGTGGAACAGAGTACTTCTTGAGAAGCTGACTGTACCTCAGTTGCTCAAGAAAGAACCCCGCCATTTATTTTACCATAAATTTCTTCACCGTTTTCGTCACAACATCCAGTCAGTGAGCCATATCTATGCCCACCCATTTATGCATAGATCACACAAGAATCCACATTTCTTCGGCTTGTCGACTAAAATGATTAGGCTATTTTCCATTCTCCAAACACCTGCTACATGATTTGCACGTCTCAAATTTCATGATAGTCCCCCTACCAATATATGGTAAATAGTACACATTACAGAAATCTTCATTGTTAATAATTTCTTTATCCGCCTTTCATTTGATTTAAGGCCCAAATATACCTTCAACATCGTACAATACAAAAATTATTCAATAGAAGGTCGTTTTCCCATTGCACTTTTAACAAAAATATGTTTAAAAAATATAATTTATTAGGTTTACATTATTTGCGTTTTGTGTGAGAAGTATCTCTCTAAACATTCAGTATTTAACTCTGCTATTGTGATCTCTACAGCATTGTTATCATAAGCGAAAGGTTCTCTACTACAGTTTTGTCCCTACAATTTCAGTTCTCAAATCGAACAGTGGGAGTTATTAGAATCATGATTAATTAAGTAATAACGACCCATATATATAGCTATAACTGAGAGATTAACGGACAGCAGCCCTAACAAACTGCGTGTATAAACTTAGAAATTAAGTCCCGCTTGGAAGGAGAATAATGAGTACATTAAAGTCTAATAAAAACTGTCACATTACTACCATAATTCAAGTTCTGACGTCTCCAGTCTGTATTTCAAACAAAATAATTGTATAGTTCTTTTTAAATAGTTATAATGTTCAGATTCGCTTGATACCTCGTCTAACAGAACAAAATTGTGGGGTTACAGCGAAATGTACAAAAATGAATAATACACGTACAGCTAATGAAAACGTTGCACAGAACTACGGTCTTATATCTCTTTTCCTAGTTTATGATCCGTGTCTGAGAAGTAATAATTCAAGGAATATATGTGCTGTGGTTTTATATGTTGTATTACGTGTGCAGAACAGTATCTCAATCCGAGAAACGAGCAAAGCTTGAAGGCATTTGAAAATGAAACAATTTTATTTCAATCTTTTGTGTTGCATTTGAGGTTACCAGGGCGATGACTATATAGAGTAAGAGCTTCTGGGATATGATCCCGTGTAGTTCGGAAAAGGCTTGAAATTTGGAAGCTTTACTCGTACTTTCCACCGAAACATTTCGCTTTTCCGAAATACACGCTGTTAAAATCCAGAAGACTTTACTTTTTAATATTTATTTAAAATGTCTTATTCTTTTTTATAACTTTTAGAATAATGCCATAAAATTTATGGCTGTCCTTCACCAGAAAGTCCTGTTCCTAGGAGATATTTTGAATTCTTCAAGAGATTGTTTCACCCTGACGCAGGGGAACTGGAGAAGGAATTCAAAATATTACATAATACGGAATTACTCATTGTCTATGTGCTTCACCTGGTATTATTTAGGTAATTAAAGTAAGGAATTTGAATTTGGATTAAAATGTAATCTGCAGGGAACAAAAAAATTAATGTATACGAAAATTGACAGAGTCGTATTAAAGAAGGAAACGTAGTTTTTTTTGGGGGGGGGGGTTATTGTATGAGTCTTGATGAAATATATTTTGAATTCAGCTCATACAACTCAGGCTCTTTTCATGACAGGTTCCAAAACAGTCGTAAATACCTGTTTAGTCTGAGCAAACTTCCACCATTCTGAAACAGCCCACAGGAGCACGTGGCCATCCCCTCACTTTGTATGGGAACCTACGTCCTGTTGGTAATCATCCCTAAACAATGCTACAAATATTATCTTACCTTAATCCTCTGAAGCATAAATTTTATCTAAATCGTATTTAAATATTCAGTACCTAGCTCACATATAAAAAAAAAATAAAATTTAAAATATCCTTGATTCATTATTTGTGAGGAAATAATACCTATGTTTTGTGAGAATCATATAAAGCTCATAGATACAGCCTGTAGAGCGAGATCAGGGTTTATTAATGTTAAACCAGGTGATAATATAATATCCACTGTGTTCCGAAGTGTAGAAACATAATTAAAATTTATAATTTTCCACTTCAAATTACAGTTGAAAATTTTACAGTGTTCGGTTTCACATGGCATAAGCATGGGTTTTATTTTATTCTCCCTTGCAGGACTAAAGCAGTAGTTTTGAATAAAGACGGCCGGAGACTCCTTACAACTTTACAGCCTGCCAAATACCCTGAGTTCTGTATCTCTCAAGCCTGCGTCTTTGCGACGCGACATGTGGACTTCGTGTACCATACTCTTCACGACTGTTCTCATTATGAATGTTGAAACGGACGACTCACGTGTAAAACAGATCACTGACATAGTGTTCGGTGTTCAGCGGCATTTGTACTCCGGTTGTGTGTCATTGTTACTTTCTTCGGCACCAGAAGGTAAGAGAGAGGGGGGGGGGACGGCTTGTAATTTAAGAAATTAGATCACTCTCAATGAAGAATATCACCTTCCGGGATGTGGGGGTGTATAAATCCTGTGTCTGCAGCCACCTGCTCAAGCTGGTTCCTCACTCGCGGATTTTTCTGCCCCGAAGATGGAAGCAATATATTCCTCCGAAACGTCGGTTCACATAGGATTTACATGGTGCCACATCCCAGAAGACGACATTCTCCATAGTCAACGCCGTGAAAACCTCAAGTTTTACACAGATCACTTCCCATTTATCTGGACGTAAGTAGCAGGATAATATTAATGTGGATCTTAGAGAAACGGGATGCGGTGGAATGCACCGGATTTATCTGATTCAGGATACGGGCCAGTGGAATACTCTTGTGAACACGGTAATGAACCTTCGGGTTCCGTAAAGTATTGGGAAATTCTTGATAGGTTGAGCGATTGACGGCTTCTGAAGAGGGATTCTGGTTCATGGAATTAGGTAGTTAGTTCATTTCTTTATAATGAGGACCCGGGGAGGGTCTCATTAAAAAATTATTTTTAAATTATCACGTTTCTGAATGCTCTTTAACGCCTGAAAGTTTCAGAAAAATTTCACATGCTTAATATTTCATTACATGCCCTGCATGTGACATATGTTTATTAAATTAATAATTTTTAAAAGTGAAGCTAATTTGCAGGAAGCCTGACAAATACAGTTGGCGTTTCCTTGAAAGTCCTTAAGGTATTTTGAATTTTATTTTCTTATATACAGTGCGATATCAAATAATGTCCCATAACACAAAACGTTCTTCTAAGTAAAATGTTGATGTAATTATGCGAATTTATCCTTTACAAAGAAAGAAGTACGCAATAATTCGTAGCATTTTTTTTTATTTCTCGTTTATATGTTTATTTTGTTTTATCCCGCGATGTAACATAGGTTCGAGGTCCTCATGACTGTGACTGCGATGTGACACAGTGTAGTCTGATAGAGCCTTGCCCTTATCCGGAGTGATCCTTTTGCCCTGAAGATGGAGGCATCATGTTCCTCAGAAATGTTAGTAACGATCTATCAGAATGCACGGTATTATATCCCAGAAGACAATAATCATGCGTCGTTTTTATTCCTATTTACATTATTCCTTCCTTTTATTTTCATTTCACTTTTCCTCATTATTCACTTATTTGTCATTCGTTCGTGATTACTTTGTATCTTTGCCTTATATTTTTATTATTTGTTTTTATTTCCATTATCCTCTTTATTCTCTTATTTCTTCCTTTCTTCGGATTTATTCTTCCGCTGTGTTGTTTCTGTCTTTCTTTTTAATGTTAGTGGGGTGGGACTAAGTCCCTTGTACTGCGGCCACTTCTTGCCTATTGTACCAGACCAAGATGATAGGTGAGGGTGATTGTGGAGCAATTGGTGGAATGAAGATTGGCAGGGGAAACCGAAGCCACTTTGTCCACCACAAATCCCACTTGAACAGACCCGGAATCGAACCCGGGCCGCCGCAGTGGGAAGCCATTGTTTCTGTCTTAATATGTAACGCTTTTCTTCATCCATTCGCCATTATTTTTTCCTTTTATTACTATCTACTACAACAGTCAATTCATTCGCTTTTAATGCAGGTATTTATTCCGGTTCCCTTATTTCCATCCTTCAGTCGAAAACAAGTCCCTATTTCGGACCTGACGGTGTACAGCATTAATAAATACTGATAAGAATACGAAATTACCTATTTATGGTTGCCGCATAATAAGTTTCTGTATCTGTGTTATCTAGAAAATACCTCCAGCCTCAGGTTAATAAAGTTGCTGTCGGCACGAGGGATTGCTTCCGTGACGTTGTCTGTCCCAATGCTGAACATATCACGTGATGACGCTGAATGCCGTTACAACCGCCCGCTGTACGTCGTAACGCAGGGTGAAACACTCAGACTGAAGCAGGTAAGGCTCTAGGTTAGTAACACGAGATGGGAGAATCATTGTCACAAGTCTATATCCTGTGTATTGCTATAAGAGAATTATGAATTCACTCGCTCTGGAACAACTCTTATACGTTTAGCTTTCGATATGACAGTCAAATTGCGGTTTATATTAGACAAAGAAAATTGTCTTGGTAAAAGATGAACTTTTCTGAAATATCCTTCGCCAAAAATCAGTTCAGAACCCTAAATTAAGTAGCTCTGTTGCCTTCCGTCTAAAAAATCCGCCCCCTTTTCATTTTTCATTAATTATTGTAAGTTGGAGTAACTGCCAATCATTTTAAGTTCATATTAAGTTCAGTTGAAACCGGTCAGCTGGTTCAGAATCTAGAAGAGAAATGCACTGACATATACAGAACAAATAATTTCTAACATTTGCTATCCTCAAGAAAGTAAAGAAGATTGGAAAGAGATGGAGTCGGTTCTGGAAAACACTTAGACTCCGATCTAAAGGATACTGGGGCCTCTTTCTCCGGGGTGAAAGCGACCGGAGCGTGAATCTGGCCTGTAACATCCATCTTGTGCCGAGGTTAAGAATGATGGAGACATAATTTCATTCCCTAGTCCATTTTCATGATGCATTGCTTAATTTACTTTTATAATAGATATCAAGGTGCGATAAAGTAAAATGACATCATATTTAAAACGCCTTTAAATGTTTTGGCGACAATTGGCCATCATCAAATGGCAAAGCCAACACAACAAAGGAGACACTTTACATGCATGATACATATTATAAGTACATCAGCAGAATGCGTGAGAAGAAAAGAACTCCGTGACCTGTAGTCCGCAAGCGAACTATACCGACCGACCGACCGCCGCTTGTCGGCGAAGTTAGTGTCAACTTTTGCGGATAGAGGAGGGTGTCGCTTTGTCAACTCAACGGATCCCCACGGCCGTTAATCTCGGTTTTGTAGACCGGAGCCTCTATTTCCTTGAAATAGCTCTTCAATTATCCTAGCCAGGCTGAGTGGACCTCGTTTCAGAGCCACTACTTCTCAGAACGTCTGGTAGCGCTGGGAATCGAACACGGATCTCAGGATCTGTAGCCAGGAACTCTGAACACTAGACCACAGAGGCGGTCTGTGTGATGAGAACGGTTCACTTTTTCCCTTTTGTGACAGAGTTCTTAATTCTGACGACTGCTGAAAAGGAAAGCTCGCGTGCAGTGAACCCATATCCTGTTTATTACTCAGCGAATGTCAGTAGTACCGCTTTGTTTCCTGCTGTACCCTACATTATTGCGTCTCCAAACTCATGATACGCGACGATGAAAAGCTGTCCAGAGCAGAATTCAAATGTTTCCTGAGACTGGGGGACGATTCTCTTCTTCTCTCGTGGTTTATACAGGGCTATAAATTATTCATTCGTTTTTAAACGCTATATTTTCCAAAGCATAATACATACAAATGTGGTTGATATATAAAAAGAACCGCAAACTCACCAAGTTTTCTTCACGTTGTACAAACATTCTATGTATTCCCCTTGGGTCACACGACATACGTCCAGGCCGTAGTCGAGCTCGTTGCACACATTTTGTAGCATCATTCTGTCAATGGTCATCACTGCAGCATCGATGCGTTCCCTCAGCTCTACTAGTGTTCTTGGCAGTGGGGATACGTAAACACGATCCTTAATATACCCCCAAAGGAAGAAGTCACAAGGCGTTAGATCAGGCGATCTGGGGGGCCAAGTGAACAGAGCTACGTCATCCTCACCAACACGCCCGAATCCAGCGTGTCCTTAAATTGCCGATACCACCGCAAAAGGCTTTGTTTACATGGCGGTTCTTTTCCGTACTCTCTTTTTAATGCGCGTTACACTGCTATAACAGACGAACATCTCGCATATTCCAAGAAACAAAAACTCTTTTCTTGCTTTGTCGCCATTTTGTAAAGACACTAAACTCGTGCTGCCAACCGGTGCACATAATACAAAGTTAGTGTGTGTACGGTTCTTTTTATATAAAATCATATTTGTATATATATTACTTTGGAAAATATAGCGTTTTAAAAACGAATGAATAATTGATAGTAGACCTGTATTAAAATGCTATAAGTATCTCGGACTACTCAGAGTCGGACGTCAGAACGAACAGGAATAATGTAGAGGAATGGATGTAAGCAATCGTGGCTTAATCCAGGTACTATACCGGTATTTACATGGAGAGACAGAGTAAAACCACGAGAAATCTCGGAATAGCTTATGTTCCGGTAGAGATTCGAACCCAGCACTTCTCTAATACAAATCTAGAGCCTTATAGATACATCAACCTAATCGGTTGAATCTCTAAGATTCATTACCAGGAAACGTCTAGTGAAGACAATGCAAGAGAATAGCCACTGTGGAGAGCTGTTACCAAGCAACGACTAGTAAAATCAGACTTAGGAGACTTAAGTGTTGAGTGATTTGTAGTGTGGGAATCAGCAATAGTGTAATAATTATTTGTAATTAGGACCTGTAAGTGATCAATAAATCTATTCACCAATCCAAAACCCGTCTATAGCGAGTAATACACGTGACAATATATTTATCTGTCGCTCTCTTTCACTTCTTATTTGTTTAAGCCTGGATAGCTCAATCGATATAGCGATTGAATACGAGCTAAACGGCCGAGGTTCGATTCCCGGAAGGGGCAAGACATTTTTAATCCACAGCCTCCAGACCGGCTCTGGGTTCAACCCAGTTTCCTACGTAATAGATACCTGCGGCGATTTACCCTGGAGTAAAGCGACCGGAGTGTGAAGCTGGCCACTCACCTCAATCTAGTGCCGGAGTAAAGAATGGCGGAGTCAAACCACATCTCTCCGTGCTTCTTAGTACCATGGTGCTTAATGAAGTAAGCACAGGGACAATTTTACCTTTTCACTTTTGCACTGGTTTTGCTAAATATGTAACTGGCTCATACAGCTGCTCGGGTAGCTCGTAAACATACGCATAATCTCCTCATTTCAGTGCCGGTAGACGCTCCTTGTCCTGTTGTGTCCCATGTTACAGTTTGCTGCTACAATGAGCCTCACAGGCCCCACCTGGCTCTTGTTTTCGAACCAGTCTGTAACTTTGGAATCTCTGTTAACTGATGTCTACATCCCATTTGACTGCTTATTTCTGGTGGCACGCGAGGACCAAAAGGGTAAAGTGACTCTGCTGGAAGTTTACAGAGTTAACAGGACAACACCACTTCTAAGTCTCCAGTTGGCCCTCTGGAGCCCGAAATTTGGTCTCATGTGGAATAAGAAGTCGTTCTATGAGAGGAGAAACAATATGCATGGCGTCACTCTCAAGGTTTCAGCCTACCAGGTGAAGGAACTTTTCTCAAATATAAAATATTTTGAAGCCTATTCTCATTCCTGAAATTAAAAGAAGCATTCCCAAGAGAACTTCGTTGTGTCTCTGTATGTCTCCAATTTAAACTCTGAGGTAGTCGATATGTTTCACATATCCTGGAATGGAAGTTACACCATTGGACAACATCCCAATGTAGAAATTCTTAATATCTTACCGTCAATAACAAAATCATAGTGGAGTCGAGAAATTGTAAGACTCCTGAGATGATGGGTGATAACAATCTGTTAACGCATACATTTGTAAACGTAGAAAGTAAAATAACACTGTGGTGGGCATGAGAAATTGTTCTTCGGCTTTCGGTTTCATAGAGACAACCGATAAACCACTGGAGCTTGGTAAGCGAAATTTTGTTAGGAAGAATATAGGCCGCGCCATAGCTCAAGCGGTTAGTCACTGGCTTCCCAGTTCGGCGGCCCGTGTTCGATCCAAGGTCTGGTCAAGTGGAATTTGTGGTGGACAAAGTGGCGCTGGGGCAGGTTTTCTCCGAGTACTTCGGTTTCTCCTGCCAATCTTCATTCCACCAATTGCTCCACAATCACCCTCACCTATCATCTGGGGCTGATACAATAGGCCAGAAGTAGCCCCAGTACAAGGGACTTAGTCCCACCCCACTAGCAATAGAAAAATAGGAAGAATATAATTAACATACCATCAGACTGCACAAAAGATGTTTGTATAATAAAATTACAAACATGATAATGCAAATATGTTAAATTAATATACGTATTTGACAAATTAAAATTATACAGAGTATGAAACTAAGTAAAAAATTTGCACAAAAATAAAGTGACACTAACACTAAAATGGATAGCTGTGGCTGCAAGACTAGAAAGCTGTGTCACAGGAAAGTAGGCTTTATGGTTCCTGCTCGGAACTGCGTGCTACATTAATGTGTCACGAAAAAAGAAATGATGAAAACTTTATTTGATCTTAAGGAAGAATAAGTAAACAGGGAACTGTGAAAATTGCTCAATTTTTCGAACGCCATTATAATACCAAATGTTAGGACCCTAACTTATCACTTAAGAAATCTTCACTGCTTTTGTATTAATATTGTCATGTGTTGATGCGATAAATAATTTCATGCCGGTTTGAATCTAGCGAATTTATTGCACACTCGCTCCTACAGTTACACAGTTCACAATTTCATGGTCACAATTACTTCTTCCTTTTTGATCACGGAAACCAAGCAGATGCAAGAATGTGATGATTCCTACCTCTATAACATATGACTCATAAAATAATTCCTTAAAATTCTTCAACTCCTTCCGAAATATGTTATTTTGAGGCATATATTCGTCTTTATACACTAACGTTTTAATACTATGAACCCATTTCTTGTTACAGAACAAGAAAATCGAACTAAATTGAGTTATATTCGTGCCTTACATGATTTTCTTCTTACAGAGTCCCCCTTTAACTGAGCTAAAACACAACGTACACAAGCTAGAGATAGGTGGAATGTTCGGAGAAGTCTGGTACAGCCTTTCGCGGGAACTGAACTATACGTGAGTCATTCTAACAAGGTATCACAATTGTAGCTCTCTCTTATTGTTACTAACTTCGGTATTAAAAACAACTGGCGTTGGATATTCCCTAAAAGAAAAAAAATCAGAATTAGAAGGGATATATTTATCATCCATATGTGTGTATATATGTATAGTATACGCCAACAATTCAGTACTGAAATGAAAAGGCGTCCTGTTGATACCACTGTCTATTCATGTTAGGGTCCCTTGCACGACAGAACCTTCTCAAATCCTGAAGAAATGGACCGATCACTATGTCCCTGTAGCCTTCTTGGGTGATGATAAGAGCACTGACTTCCTCATCCTCAATGAAGTAGGGGCCTAATATACCGTGTGCTGAGACGGCACACCATATCGTCACACGTGAACTATGTAGCGGTTTCTGGACGGTAACATGTGGCTGCTCAAAACCAAGGAAGCGAGTTGTCTGGCGACCACTTCCCTATGAGCGGAAATAATACTCAACTATGAATACTTTTTTCTCCGTCGAGATACCCATTTTCAACAACAACTGCACAACACAACATCCTTTTCACTACTGGGAACACGTGCGGCTGGAGCTATGCCCCGTTGACGAATGTACATGCGCGTTCGAGATACGCGAGTTTCAGTACTGTATATTTGGCGCAAACTGTATATATATATATATCTGATATGTATATATATATATATACACATATCAGATATCTAGCCATACGTCCGTCCATATTCCTCTTGAAGAGACAATCCTGGAAAATTTTTAGTTTTCCTCTTACATGTATGTTTTTGATTCCAAGATAATTCCTTCTCCCATTTTTTCGTCCACAGCAAAAGGAATGGAAACTTGAAGACAATAAATACGTAAGCTACATCAGAAAAGAGCACATCAAAATTTCATTTCTAAATGTTTTAAAATAACTAAATTGTGCGTTCGAGTATTTACAAGGTTCTATAATTTTATGTATGTGACTTTCCGGACACAGTTGGGGCGTTCTTGTACAAGAACACGACGCGTTTTTACTGCTTGTCAAACAGTAATTGTGTTCAGAATGCCACAGAAGCGACATATGTGACTGCAGGACCTTAGAGAGTTGGGCTACATAATCATCACGAGCAACAGTGTCAGTTCCCAAAGTCGCAGCGAAGTTTGTCCTGCACATACATGCTAGCTGGGGACTTAAAATTTTGCCAAGATTGAGTGAAAAATATTTAATTTACTGCGAAATTGCAGTTCAAGGGCCGAAATTGTGAAGCCGAAAGACACAATCATTGCTAGGAAACGTCCGATAAACACGTTTCTGTAGCAACGAACGCGTGACGCCACAATAAAAACTTAAAAAATATGTTTTCTTTCGGGCCCGCCCCTTGGCTGTATAAAGAATCTTTTATTGAAGAAACCACATTCAGCACCCAGCTGCTTTCCCCGGGGGGGGGGAGATAAATAAAAGGACCTGGCCCTCCAGGTTTGGGGAGTCTCAAATCTGAGGCAGTAAAATTTGGTCTGAGTCCCGCCGGACTTAAACCTGAGAATGCCTGCACTTGCGAGGGCCAGCAGCAATTGCAAACGACAGACCCATCCTCTCGTCAGAACTAAGAATTATAGCCGCAAGTGTTCAGTTGGAAAATAAACATTCTGGTCGTGGGGCTCAAGGAGTTTGTCGCCAAGACGAACTGACTCTTGGTACGCCTCTAATCGTAAAGTAACGCTGACTCTGACGTTGATTCTGAATTCACACCTGAAGCAATATGGCATTTTGATTTCTAAAATGGCTGTGCCAATTCTGAAAGTACAAAATTGTAAAATAAATATATTTAGAAAAGAGGAAAGATTCTAAGTATAGAGTTAAAAGGGAATATCAATTAATTCATCATCGCTCTTGAATGCGTCAAATGTTTTTGCTGTGAAGAGTATAGTGCCCCCACTTCCATACACAGGGCTTTGCATAACTACCCTCTCCTTTTAGCAGAGAGGATGATAGGCCAGCAGTCAAACGCTCTTCCTATTCAGTCAAACATTTGGAAGCTCTTGAATAGGAGCAGTTTAAGCTTAAACAAGTTCAACTTCTTTACATGAGATTCTGATCAGTCTGTTCATTTCGTGCTGAGTGTAGAACAGATGTGCACTCGCCAGAAGACAACGCCATGGGCGCGTCTTCCAAGAACGGGACATGGAACGGAATAATTAGGATGTTGATGGATCAGGTAGTGGATGTGGCTGTCGCAGATGTCACCATGACGTCACGCCGGGCCGTCGTTATCGACTTCAGCGTGCCTCTCATTCTAGGCAGGTAAATGATACAAATGAGAATATATATATTTTGTGGATGAAGGGTTCAGTGTTCTAGGATATAATCCATGTAGTCCGTTGAAAACCAGCAGACGTTTTGGAAGAATATATCGTCCCCATCGTCATATCAGAAAATTATCCAATTAAGAAACCAACGTGAAGCAAGCAGCAAGCGGAGCTACCGCCCACACGGCGCTATATCCCAGAAGACAGAACTCTTCATAACCACCGCCGTGAGGACCTCGTATCCAATACATTTCGTGGATATGGGCCTTGCCATAATTTAGGCAGTTAATCGCCGGCTTCCTACAGCGGTGTCCAGGATTCAGTCCCAGGTCAGGTCAGACGGGATTTGTGGTGGAAAAATTGTACGGGGTCGCCTATTATTCTTTTCAACCCGTCACTTCATATTTCACAAAATTGTCAACGTTCATTATCCACTCTACTGTACAATGCTATATAGACCTGATAGAGACTTCATCGTCACATAGGTAAAGGAATTTGTTGTAGCTGAAATGTGTCTTCTAGGTAACCGAAGCCTGTTTTAGCAAATTTTCAGTAACCAAATTCATGAAGCCGACCTCTTCTTGAGAAGCCGCCAGTTTTGCAACGACTAAAGAACTTACCAATGTTTTATGTAACTCGAAGGTTTATTACTTTCAGTATTTTAAAAAATTAAAATCAAGCCACTAAAATCACCATCATATATCTGTGTGTATGTGAATCCCTCTTCCAATTAACTTTTGGATGCCTAAACCAATCTGTATGAAACTTTGTATGTACATAATGTGCCCGTACGGCCGCGCCATAGCTCAAGCGTTAGTCGCTGGCTTCCCACCGCGGCGGCCCGGGTTCGATCCCGGGTATGGTCAAGTGGGATTTGTGGTGGACAAAGTGGCATTGGGGCAGGGTTTCTCCCAGTACTTCGGTTCCCCTGCCAATCTTCATTCCACCAATTGCTCCACTATCGCCCTCACCTATCATCTGGGGCTGGTACAATAGGCCAGAAGTGGCCGCAGTACAAGGGACTTTATCCCACCCCAATAGCAATAAAAAAATAATGTGCTCGTATGTGTCCCATTTTCGTTCCTAGGCAACGGCTGGTTAAAAACGTTACTGTGGCAACGAACACACACGCAACAGCAGAAGAATTTTTGCACACAACTTTTTACATGCGGTCCGTGTCTTACCAAAAGAGAGTAGGCGATTGATTCTTCCAAGAACTTCTTGTTTACATGAACTTTGTCCTTTTTGTGAAAAAATCAAACTAGAATGATAATGCTAAACTATAAACTGTTCGCATAGATCCTGCATATTCATCAGAACACCTGGATCTTCCTATGAGGCGCTCAACAACATCCTGGCCCCATTCAGCTCTGGTCTGTGGTTCACAATTCTGGGGGCAATTCTGCTTCTCGCAGCCTTCCTGTCGCTCTCTTATCACGCGGTGAGAAGTTACGACAACACCGAGAAACCAGACCTTTACACAGTGCCAATGGCACTCTTCTGTGTTTTCGAAATCTTCTGTCAGCAAGGTAACTATGGTAGTGACATCACAACTCCGTCAAATGGCAATATTCACACGGGAAAACTGAAATCATATAAACTGACACAGAGAATAACATATCCAGGCAGTAGAGGTGACTGGAATTAGTACAATTTGAAAGAATTCCAGTAGAGGGGAGTTCTTTGGGAAAAATGTAATGTATAGTTTAGGAAATACGTGTATACTGTAGTAATGAGTTATCTTTTAGTCAAATTGTCCAGTTATTTAACTACAGAAGGTAATTTAAGTACGCATATAACTAAAGTGACCGCGAGGTCTGAGGCATGAACTGTCTCCGCTCGCTCGAACGTTGGGAACGTAGGTTCGTATCCCACTCAAGGCATATATGTCTATGTGTGTGTTTATTCTGTGTTTATGTTCTGTGTGTAGGTAGCGGCCTTACGACGGCCTGATCCTCCCCCCAAATCCAAGGAATTGTGTCTGTGTAAGAAAGATTACGAAACAGCAGAAGAGGCCAGGGCCCAACAAAGGGCTCTACAGCCATTGTTGAATGAATGAATTAATATAAGTTATTAATTCATTTTTAGCTATTAAATAGTTTTGCTAGTTCATTTTAGCTAGTAAATTGATTAGTTATTGATCAAGATTTTATGTTTTTTATTAATTTAATTTTGTTTGTTTTTTAAAGACGCTCCCTGTGTCAGTGTATGTAGCATCGGATGGTAGGATGGCTTGTTAAAAATGAATTGCAAATAAAGCAAGAGACTGTTCAGAATTTGTACGAACCCATTCCAAGAAGGACTGAGGCTGTGTCGAAAGTAAAATCTGGTCTAACCCCATATTATTAAAGAAATGTGTACGGTATCTATAGTGTTCCATTATTTTGTTCATCCCCTGTATATCGAACATCTTATTGTAAGGGTGAGCAGACTTACTTTGTGCTGTGTAGGTCACGGGTTGGAATCATGTCCCGGAGACCGATTATTCTGAGTTTGTTTCTTAGTTCTCGGCATCCCCCAGGAATAACTTTAAAATTTGCCGCTACCAATTATTTTCTCCATCGTATCTATTCACAACTCACAGTCATACCACGTGACACGATACAACCAGTGCGGTTCGGAACATCGTCTTCCGAATACAGGAGTAGTGCAAGTGTAGTCTCGTGATGTTCCTAGGTCACGATGAGACACCCCGGTCCTTGTCATGTCGCCTCGTATACTGGGTGTCCCACGTGGCGGCTGTGGTGCTGTATGCAGCTTACTCAGGCGCGCTGATCTCTTCCCTCGCACTGCAGCGTATAGTCCCGCCCTTCAGAACGTTTAGTGGTCTCTTGCAGCATGGTGGGTATCAAGTGGCCACACTGGCCAGCTCGGCGCAATTCAACATCTTTGACGTGAGTTTTCCTCTGCTTAAATGATTACACTTAGTAAAGTAATTAAATATTGAATGAATAAGAGATTGACGGCCAGCCCGACCAGACGATCGACAGACAGACGGGCCGTTTCGCTCAAAGACTAGAAATTTTCTAGTTATATATTCATTCATTGAACTAAGGAAACCAGTCTCCCACTTAGCAATAAAGCAAATGAGGCTTAAGTTCAGAAATAATTGTTACGCAGTGCCACAATAGCGACTGGCTACGGGCTGAACGAGTGAGGAGTCGGAGCTCGAGTCTCGGTAGGGTCAAGAATTTTCTCTTCTCCAAATCATCGAGACGAGCTCTGGAGCCCAGCCAGACCCCTATCCAGCGGTTACAAGGGGCTGTTACCCCGGGGGTAAAGCGACCGGGGGATGAAGCTGACCACTCACCTCCAGGTAGTGCCGAGGTCAAAATAGTGTTGATCTATACATCCATATATATACTTGTATATATATGCCTTCATAGTGTAGTGCTTAATTCGTTAATCAAAGGGACAAATCTACCTTTTACCTAATTCTAGCTCTACCAAGTGGTGTCCTTCCTTCTGGCTTTTCCATCAGAACCCTATATACATTCCTCCGTGCCCGTGCGTGCTGCATGCCGTACCTATCTCATCCTCTTCGATTTGATCATTCTAGTTCTATTTTATGCGGTATATGAGATAAGATGAAAGAAATGTATCAGTTAGAAAGCTATTATAGATGGAAGGACATAACATCGTTAATTCATCTCTTCTCGGATCAAGATACCCACCACATGAGTTTTGCACTTCCAGGAAACCACGGACGAGACCATGAGCGACATATACAAGAAGCTGTTTGACAAGAGCATGCCGAGTACTGTACTGGAAGGTTTCAGCAACTTATGCTCCAGGAGTAATTATGCATTCCTAGCGACATACAGCAGCTCCTTGCCAATCCTTGGGAGCCTCAACTGCAGCGTCACGTCGCTAAAGGAGGCCTCACTGCCTGAAAGCCTCAGCATGGCGTTCACTAAAAGGAGTCCCTACCTCGGCGTCATCAACTTCAAGTAAGAGTAAGAAGCCTACTCACCAGTGAGGTTATTCTTGGCTTTTACAGACGAGTACCAGGGCAGTACCTCAAACAAGCAATACATGAAGAATTGCGTATATGTAAAAACATTGCCTTAGCTCGCTCGAACGCTATGATCGTGGGTTCAAAACCCACTCAATACATGACTGTATATCTGCGTTTAATCTGTGTTTGTGTAAGTAGAGTCCTTGAGACGGGCTGATCCACCTTCCAAGGAGTCTTACCGACTGCCTTAGAATTAAGAAACTGAAGTGAAACAAAGCGTTTTACTGATGCCCTATGCTCCCAAGTGGGAGCAACAGAAAAGATATATATGTACATAAACAATCACAATAATTTGTACAGATAATCTGGTATTCTTAGCATGGTCGTATTGGTTTCATTTCTGGCTTTATTTAACTGTACTTTGTTAAATACGAAGGGAGAAACCCTCTACACATTTTGCCTAATTGTCCAAGCTCAGTATCCGTACAGTACGAGTAAATTTTGCAATGGTATGACTATACATTTTAATAATATATCCTTCTATATTTTCTTACACAGAATTTTATTAATGGAATATATATTAGAGCTATATTTTGTTATTTCAAGTTTATACCTTCGTTGTATCAAAGTGAAAAATATCGCACATAACAGGTCAAATATTCTTATAATCTGTAATTCTTCTCATACTGACTCCGTTTTAAACGAATTTCTGTCGCTGCATTTGTATCATAACATATGAATTATTATTCTGAAATTTTTAAAGAAATAGTTACCCTCAAATATTCAGACATGGCAGGAGAAGTTTCTTTCGCAGATTTTCTCAGAGTAATCTGGTCTTCTCATACCAAGAAGACCAGTTACGTCACACGAGATATATAATGCGTAACAAGAGACTTGTTAACTACTCAACTGGGTTTCCTCTCCTAGGTTACAGCAACTGCGTGACACGGGTATTTTGCGACGCATACGTAACAGCGTGTTTTCCATTGAGATTGAGGAAAGTGAGACGCCGTGGACCAGCGTCAGTTTGGATGCAGTGACACCGATGTTCATCATCCTGATCATAGGCATCACGCTAGCCACGTTACTGATGTTCCTGGAGAGACAAACTGTTAGCTTGCTCCAGTTGTCAGGAAAAGGCCACAAGGCAAAATGAGTACGGATTGCGGTCGACTTTCGGAGAACGTCAGCATAAATCCTGTTGTAGATCGGATGAATTCTGATATTTGCTAACTTAATGAAAAGATATTTAGACCGGAAGGTGGGAAATTATGTTTTCCATGCTGATTTATATTTAGAAAAACTTTCTTAATTAGTATATTTCCAAACTAATTTAATTTATAGCGTTGAAAACTCAAAATTTATTTAATTCTCGACAGGTGATGGAACACATTTCTTCCCCGATTTTAATAAACAACAAATAATGCAAACTAGAAAGGTCAGTTTTCACACTGGAACTTTTGCGCACAATATCAAATGTGTTAAAAACTAAAAAGTCCCCTAAAATATCAAGAATAATTGGAAATGCCCCGACGATTAGTCGAGAGGTTCCTGAAAAAGTCCGTTGTGAAAACTGCATAACATTTTCTTCCACAATCCATCCCACTTCACCAATCACAGTCAGCTTCCTATTTCATTCGTCGCTACTTAAACCTAGCAGTTGATACGTCATGGTTGAATAATTTACGCGTTAAGTACAGCTTCGATGTGAAAGTTGTGGACACTCCATGAAGAGGAAGTTCAAAGTGATGACGGTGATTGTGATTATGGTGTTGGTAACATGTTCATTTCTCTTAGAGGGGGAAGGCTACTCCTCTTAGAGGAGTCTTTTTCAATTTTTCGGCTTGGGATGAGACAGTCTATTATTGGCACACCGTCCACTCTTTGGCCTATGGTACCAGCCCCGGATGATATATGGTAAGTGTGGAGCAATAGGTGGAATAAGAATTAGCAGGGGAAACTGAAGTAGTCGGAGAAAACCTGCTCCAGTGCAACTTTATCCATCACGGATCCAGCATAACATGTACTTCAATTGAACCCGGACCGCTGTGGTGGGAAGCAGGCAACTAACTTCCTGAGCTATGAAATGGCCGCCACTAGAGGGGTTAGTCAGTTTCGTAAGTGTAATTCGGATGTAAGACACGCAGAGTGAGCTACAAATTAAGCTGTATACTGCTGAGCTAACACTGACAAACTTTTGATGTCAATACGCCACTGCCAGGTAAGCTGTAATTATGGTTCATTTACGGTTGGTTTGAATTTATTCCGCCAGATAATGAAATGTTATATCATACTTTATCATTAGCGAACTCTTGACAGTGTTCATTCTTACAAATTATAAAGTCTCTTACGGTAAAGTCCGTGATGAACATGTAACTCCTCAGCCTCGAAAAGGCATCTACATATGTCTGTAACTCTCATAGTACACAATCCTTCTGCAAGTTATGTACTCGTACATATACTTTATCATAAAAGAAGACTTGGAACAATATTCATTAACTGTTAGAATTCTTTTTCTCGTATTTGAAAATATGAAATTTGAAATACAAATGTTAATAAATTTTAGATCAATCTATTACAACTACGCATCTTTTTTTCAGCAACACAATGCACTCTATCGGCGAGAATATAAATACTGTATTGTAATGACCACCGTATTACCACACGAGAAAGTATTCAATACTCTCACTCCTATATGAATGAAATATGTGTTCACATTGGGGCACTATGATACAAGCCGCAAGGTCTAGTGTTCGATTCCTGTTGAGTTTATTGGATTTTTAAATTGACGTAATCCTTCCAGCCGCACCATGGCTCTAGAAGAAATAAGTACAAGGAATCTTCCTGGGGGTAAAGTGCAACCGGTGCGTAAGACTCACAAACTCACCGCCATCTGTGAGCCTATTGCCTAGAAAATATACGATACTCAGCACCCCACAAAATTTTGGTCCTCCACAGCCTGTTACATTGATAGCTTTGCCCTTTTTTATATATGTGTTTAGATTTGATTTACCGTACATTATCAAGTAAATAAATATTATAAGGTATTATATCTGTGCAACTGACTTTTGATTGCTTCATTGTGAATGGATGAGTGGATGGGTGATTAAGTGAATCAGAGAGTGAAGCAGTGAATAAAAGACTGGATGAATAAATCAGTGAATCAGTAAATCTGTGAGTAGGATTCAATGTTAACGAATGAGTTTTTGAATAAGTGGATGTAGGGATGTGTGAGTCTCTGACAGATGCTGTACCATGCACATACCGGTACCCTTGATCACGTGATAACCAGTTTCCTTTCACCCCTATATGCTTGAGGCTGACGCAATCTGTCCGCAACATATCAAAGCCCTTCAAATAGAGATGAATAACTTGTTTTCACACACTCACATGCGATTGCTTCCTTACATGCAAACAATTATCGACCTGTATCGACTGCTGTTAACACTGCCGAACAGTGGAAGTTCTGTCCGTACAAGCTAACAAGATTGTTTCATATGATGGCGTTTAGAGCTCTCGAGGTTTTATTCCTAATCTCTTTAACAAGTTTCCCAGTTTCAGGACTATCTGTTGATGTGGCTTCAGGGGTGATTGTGGACATAGGAAGAAAGTTCAGTTCAGGAGGAGTGTATCTGCTGGTTTCTTCAGAACAAGTGGCTGGTGGCTGGTGGACTGATCTGGCGAGATATTTAATTACGGCCCATACACTGGCCGCGGTAATTAACTTGGGAAATGCGTCCATATTTCCAGTTCCGTCAGAGGCAGTATCCGTCTGTGTGATGCGCTCCGCTGGTATGGAGGAGGTGTCTGCTTTGCAAGAGGTACCCTGTAGCCCATTTGACCCCAAACTGTTTGTGGGCAGGATTGTTCAGCCGCTTTCGTCGGAAATAGTATACGTGTTGTAAAGCTTTTGTTAGAGATTTGCAGTAAGTTAAGTCACAAAAACAGGTGATATGGGTGTTGCTGTAATATTTTAATACTTTGCAGAAAATGCAGCATTTTCCTATACTCTTCCCATTGCATGGTTGAGATTGACACTTACAATCGCTTAACCCTTTGAAGCCCAGTGGTTACTATACCTACACCCGCTTTAACACACTAAAACTCTTATCTGCCAACAGAATACATTCGTGTGCTTCGTATTTATCTCGTAATAAACAGCTACTCTTTCCCTGTACAGCATTAATTTTGCGTCCTGTGAGGTACAAACTAAGGTAGTATGTGTTATTTAGAAAAAGTTATCTCTTTAGAGGTTTGATTTTCCTGTCAGAAGTGAAAATATTTGAGAAACTTCACGTAATATTCTATCTGAATACAATGCTCCAAGCCCCCGAGAAAATATGTATCATGTTATATACGGACTTGTGTATTCCGAATTTTCTTGTTGCGAATTCATGTGTTGAGATGGTTGGGGAAATACTGCAAAAAGGTATATTCCTCACGGAAGACCCAAACACAATAGGAAAATATTTAAATCAATTCTGTTGATGTAGGTCTTGCAAATACAGATGGTGTTTTATTCCCTCATGATATGGTTCGAAAAAAGGTTTTTAAGAACGAATATTTTCTTAAAAGAATTAATTTCTTCATTAAAGAGACCATATACGAAGATGTTATGTTGGTCAGTGAATCAGTCGGGTGTTTAATTTTATTCACTTTGGCAATTACAAACCCAATTAATAAATTGGTTGATTATTTCAGGAAGCTATATTAATGGTATCGTCTTTCTTTTCTTAAGTAAAAATTCTCAACTACTAAAGATAATGAAAACTGTTTTCTTGAATGTGACGACTTCTAGATTCTTTACCGACGTTTCGGTAAAACGTGCTGCTTACATCTTCTAACCTAAAGATTCGTATATACCAGACAACACGACGCCACATTCCAGAATACAGTGATCTCCGTGAGGACCTCAAGCCAACAAATTTCCCCTGCCCACCGGCCTCAACCTTAGATTATCTGTCTGCTGTACTTTTTGCCTTCGCAGCTGTCGGGCCTACGCAACATGCATTTAGCAATTTGGTTGCTGTTTCTCGAAGACGGCCGTTCTGTTGACGAAATCCTCAGGGACCTGCATGTGCCTTTCAACTGTCGCTTCCTGGTGGCTCAGTATGAAGACGACGCCGTTCAACTGACGGAAGTGTACCGCGTCAGCGTCAACCATCCATTGACCTTGAACCACTACGGGATCTGGAAGAAAGGCTACCCCATGTCCAGCAAAGTGAACGCCTACGAAGGCAGAAACAACCTACAGGGACTCGTCATGAAGGCCATCGTCATAAATGTCAGTTGAAGTATTGGGTCTAGAAAACCGAAATGAATGGCCTTGGGGATTCGTCGTGCTGACCACGCAACACCCTCTATCCGCAAAAGTTGGCACTAAAACTTCGCCGACAAGAGTCGGTCACTCAGTCGGTATAGTTCGCTTGCGGACTACAGGTCACGGAGTTTTTTTAAAGTATTTGGTTCAATATATCATATCGAATGTTAGAAATGGAGAGTGATTCATGTCACGGGCCAGGTGTCCCATTTCGCGACTGAAAGTATAAAGAGAGTTAATTCGTAAAATAATCAGTTTTCTCGACATTAACCGTAGTCCAAATTGTAACGAAGTTTTGGAGACTTGACTCTGTCTCCTCTGCCAGGTAAAGAAGGATAATCGAGCGTCCTTGATCACATCTCCAGATACGGACTAGCTCTATCGATTGGATCTAAGAGAGTCACATTTTTCTATCCTTCGATTCAAATTCCTTTGAAAATTTAAGCAAATGGTAAATTGTAGTTAGAAATTAAAATCTTAAAAATAATGATGACTCGGTACATATTTTAGTGTTTTAAAAATAAAAGTCTGATAGATTTTACTTTGAGGGGGGGGACTTGGTCTGTGATTAGTAGCCCTGTATATTTCTAGGCACTATACCAAAATACAATCTATTTCACAGCAGTCAAATATCTAAACGTAAGACATAAAATCAAAATATGGAATGGCAAATCTGAAATTGTATGTTCCGACAATGATCAACTCTACTCTCCAGCCACCATATCGTGATACTTAATAGAAAAACTGAAATTGTTCAGTCAGTGCAGTGACTGGCTGCGATCTGTGCAGTTGGAGCTAGATTTCTCTCACCGCAGCCACGCCGGCTTTTGGGTCCTTCAACCTCCTAATTAATGGTTACCGACAGCCTTCTCCCCTGATTTAATAGAAGCTGGATCACGTCACCACTTCTCTCCATCTACTGCTTCTCCAAACATCTTCATAGTTCTATGATTGGACGAGTAGAGGGACAGTTTATAATTAAGCTGCATCTGTTAGAGAGAAGTTGCGGCATGTCCCAGAGGTGATGTGAACTTCCTAGAAAATATGAATTTCATGCCCTTGACCAAGAATGCCTTCATGATTTGTCCCAAGAGAGACAGCCAGTAAATTATGTAAGATTTGAGGCCTGCTTTCTTCATAGCCAGTAAATTAATTAACGAATTTTACTTTCGAGAGTTTTAAGGCCATTTTCGCTGTCCAGACTAAAATGTTCAGAATGGAAGATTACTTATAATTTTAATTTTAGGCATTAATAATTGATATATTCATTATTTGTTCAATTTTTATTTTCTCCAGATTTCCCGGATGTTGGAAGATACCTGACTTTCCCTCATTCCCGCAGCCCACACATCAGACGGGAACTGAACCCCGATTATCTAGCAATATTACTGAGTGAGAGCGATCTCACTTCATTACAGTTCAAGTTAACGCTCCATTTTAAACCCAAATAATTTTATACTCACCAATTTATCTTATTTTAATTCTCGACAAATAAAATGATTGAACCTTAAACGACATAATGTACGAGATGTAATAAATTAATGATTAGGCTCTACTCGTTTTGATGTGATATTTTCATTTGCAGTCTCCCCCTTACTCTGTCTTGGAGAAAGAGGAGGGTGGCTATAAACTGGGAGGATCAATGGGGCCAATATGGCGAACTATGGAGAGAAGACTCAACTTCACGTACGTGTGACGGTTGGATCGACACGTAATGTCATTGCCATTCTCAGGAGGAAATGGAAATATAGTGTAAAGCAATAAAAGCACATAATTTCAGTCCAGATATTAGCAGTAAGTTTTAATTCCATAGCACACCCTTGAATGGGCGACATCTGAGACTTGAAAATCACTTTCGATTGTACACATCATTTATGATATATTCTCAATGTAAGTTGGTTTCATGTAAATATACGAGCAGCATGACACATGACGAAGTAGTGATTAGAAATGGTGCAGAAAGTACATTTTTCTCTTTAACGTAAGATTTTCTTGGATTTCCCCAGACCCTACAGTAATGTATTGATATTTTATCATAAATCAGAGAGTGATCTCTTGCTGCAAAACTCTTTGCACACCATCATTAACAAGCATCTTACCATTAGACAACAAGTGATGCATGCAGAAAATTTTTCGTATAACCAGAATCAAGTTATGCAAATGTTTAATTGGTAGTAGGAAAAGTTTCAAATCAGTACCAGTTTCCGTATATGATATAGGAACTGCAGATGGAAAGCTCTCCTTCTGCTATATGCAGTAAAATTAAGTAAAGCTACCCCTGTGACAGGCCGTGGAGGCCCATAGGGTTGTGAGATGTTGAGGCTCCAATATTTTCTAGAAACTCGGCTCACAGATGGCGGTGAGGTTGTCAGCCTTACACGGCGGCCGCCCTTTACCCCCAGGAATATTTCTGACACTCGTTTCTGTTAGAGGCTGAGTTGACCAGCGCTGCTGGAAGGATTAGGTAAATTGAGAAAATCCACCTCATCAGGATTCGATCCCGCTACTTTCCGGGTTGTAGCATAGTGCTTCAACGAACTACGCTACCGCGTTCCCTCCTATATGTAGTAGTCACATGATTTTAACTGTAATATTTCGGTGATAATATATAAAGTGATGAAGATCAGCATATAACTTGGAAACTCCTTGTTTCGTCTAAACTTGAACAGAAATTCAGCGGAAAGTCTCGGCCTTGGTAATATTATACGTGTCATTTAAGTCCAATGGTCCGCATGCCCAGTGATTTCCCTTCCTTCACAGCACCGAATACCAGATCTCGGAGGACAGCTCCTCGGGGTCTATCTCCGCTGATGGGACCTGGAACGGGCTGATCGGCATACTGGCAAGGCGGGAAGCGGACGTCGCCGTCACCGGTACGACGATGACGCCGATGAGGGCCGAAGTTGTGGACTTCACCCTGCCCATCTTCCTGAGCAGGTACAGCTATACTGTCTCTGCGCTACGCTGAACTGACGAGCATTGCGGTTGAGTAGGTACATTCCTGCTTCATATTCTCGAAGTTCTGGGTTGAGATGTCGACCTGCAGATCGGTTACTTATATTTCTGTGGTTTTCCTCAGTCCATCCATGCCAGTTCCTCAATGCTACCTCAAATTAGGCCATGAAATCTTCCTCACACATACCTTACATTTCACTTTTAACTAATTATAGTGTCCCCATGCTTTCTATATGTCTCGCTCATCTTCTTCTTAATTCAGTAACCTGTTTAATGTCTGGCGAATAGCACGCATTTTAACACTCATCATTATGTAAATACAATATAGCCTTCTGATACGTCCTCTTTCTTAAATTAAAAAATTGTCCTAATCTGTCTTTTAAAACACCGTCAGTCTATTAACATGCGGCCTCTCTGAAGGTGATGCCGTGTACGTTGAAATATATCTATAAACGTGCATGTCGCTTTATACCAAAATATCGTTATAACAATGTTCACTGCCGTGCGAACGAAAAAATCTCACCCTGTCATCATTCTCGTCCGAAGAGAGGGCATATTTCACGCCTACACAAAGCAATCAAAATTACATCTTGTATATCTTAAACTTTAACTCTGTATATAGTAGATGAGAAGATAAAGAGTTCTGAACTAAATAGAAGATTTCCTCAAATTTAATCCATCCATAATTTGAACATGAACATAATTCTTCTGTGCTTGTGACATTCCCAAAGACTTCATTGAAAGTGACAAATGAAGATAAAATTCTCTTTGTATGTAAGCAACTTCATTCATTCATCAGTGGCCTTACAATCCTTTGTCGGGCCTCTCATTCAGTTCCTTAATCTGTTTTACACAGACAGTAGGACTCCTTGGACGGGCCATCAGACCGTCGCAAGGCAGCTACCTACATAAAGGAAACCAAAAACACAGAAGAAACGCAAACATAGATATCCATGCCTTGAATTTGATTCGAATCCACGATCCCAACTTTCGAGCGATCGAAGAATATAAGCAATTTGCCATGGAATAAATCCCTACTCATTCTCAACCTAGGCACTTAAAGCCCCGGTCCCCCTTGTTTATGACGTAATAGGCCAAGCTCTTAATACGGTAAGACATTACGAGTGCCCTAGAGAGGTGACGGCTGGGTGGAGAGAAATGATTCAAGACAGCCAGACTTTCACCCTGCTGTAAATTGCAGTCTTCTGGACTGTAACAGCCTTACCGGTGGATACCAATGTTCTGGAGAGACAGTCCACCTCCTTCATCAGGGTAGAAGTCACACGGCTACATTCTAACCGGTTCCTCACCATGCGAACCTCTTCATTTTCTCCTTCCACCGGTTTTTCAGGCAGAGGACCTCCGCAAGGAACAGCATTTCCTACTTACGTACGAATAATTACAGATTGCGCCCTCCAACCGCGGCAACTTCTCCGACAGATTCGTCTGACTGTAAGTCTATACATCAGGGGCTAACATATTCTATTTCTGCTTAATTTATCTCATATGTATGCGTGCGCTCATCNGCGGCAACTTCTCCGACAGATTCGTCTGACTGTAAGTCTATACATCGTAGGTAAGTCAATAAGTAAGCTACAAATGGATATAGAACTTAAACAAATCAGAGTACTGATTTGAAAAATGCTTTTATTTCTCAACATGATCTCCCTGTACATTGAGGCACTTGTCCCTTCGTTTCACAAGCCCCTGAAAACCAGCAGCATAAAATGCTTTGGGCTGCTGCCGGAACCAGACGGTGACTGGGATCACGAAGGCTACAGCTCACTGCATTCCAGCCTCAAGGACAAACCGTAAATGCCGACTCCTACTGTAACATTCTCATAGAAACTTCGTAAGGCCATTCAATGGAAGCGACCAGGACTCCTCACCAAAGGCGTGTTGCTCTTGCATGACAACGCGCGTCCCCATACTGCAAACAAGNGACTGCTTTCTTCATATTCACCGCCGTGAAAGCCTCAAATCTTACACGTTAGATTTTGTTTAGAACTTAATCAAAGCCATGTCTATATATAGTGCATAAANAATGAGACGCTGCGAAATTTAAAGTGAGAAGTCCTCGAGCATCCTCCGTATAGCCCCGACCTTCTCCTAGCGACTTCCATTTGTTCGGCCCTCTTAAACATCATCTTTCAGCTGAACATTTTCCCGACGATGAAGCTGTAGAAAAGGAAGTCACCGTCTGGTTCCGACAGTGTACCGTCTGTTCTTCTTGTATATAGAATGTTTGTAGTGTAATATGGTGTTTTAGATCTAGAATTACTTCAGCATCTTTATTGTTGGAATATTTCTGGCAGTTCTCGAATATTGCTTAATGATCCCTTTTGATCTGTTTGTATGTGAAATTATTCATAAAATAAAGAAAGTAAACGGGAAGCATAAAAATGGAAATACAATGGTATCTTTCCAGCTATAGGCTCTTCATTCGGCAGCCCGAAATGGTAGATGTTGAGTGGGGAAACTTCTTGGCACCGTTCGACTACGGTCTCTGGCTCGGTATTCTGGCAGTCATCTTCGTGATCTCGGTCTTGGTGGAGGCCTGCCATCAGCTTAGCCGGAGGTTTAGTACTTGCAGCTCCGAGCGACTCCACCGCCCGCCATTCCAGGATTCCATCTTCCACGTGTTCGCTGCCTTCTGCTCTCAAGGTGTCACCTGTGTCATTTCCTATATAACGAAGTGGACTTGTTCAGACCTTGGACACAATTGGAAGAGCCGAACACTCTTCCGTCCCGGTCAGGTTAACCCAGAACTCATGAATTTGCTAGAAGCTTGCTCTCTCGTATAACAAAGCAAGGCTGTCAGGATTAATGGATTAATTATTTAATCGGCCATTATTTCCTTTAGTCGATTTATCGTCTGCACAATCACGGTTATAACACGGCCTGAAATATGAATTGTCTTCGCCCGCTCAAACTCTGTGATCATGGGTTCAATTCCTACTCGGAGTATGGGTGTCTGACTGCGTTTCTTCTACTTTTGTGTTGTCCCGTGTAGGTAGCCGCCTTGCGACAGGGCTGATCCACCACCAAAAGAGTCATACCAACTGTCTGAATGATCCATCACTCAAAATCATTTCTGATGGGAAAGAGGTCAAGGGGGAGGCCCCATGACTTCCTTACCATCAGAATTAAGGTTGAAGAAGAAGAAGAAGAATTTATCTTTTAATATTCGGAATTAATAGGTTTTGGACAACCCAAGTCAACAAACCAAGTCCATGATTAAGTTTGTTGCATAAAATTTTCACCTCCTTTTCTATCTTAGTATCAGGTCTGTGTACGCTTTATCACAATTTTTATTGTATATTTTCTTGTTATCTCCCTTCGACATAGCCTGGTCTCAGGTATCTTTACAGCTGTAGTTATGCCTAGTGATTGAGGTTAGCTCTTTCTAAGAGGCCCAACAGAGTAGGTGTCTTCCCCCCTCACCTGAGGACGGAAACGGATCCAGTTCCCGAAACGTCGTGTTCTCTAGATTTCAGAATACCGGATGATGGAGAAAGTAAAAAAACCAAGTAATTTTGAATGTTATACACCATCGTCAGAACATTCTAGAATCTACTTATGTTTAATGTTAACAAATCCGAATCATTAACTTTCTGATTTCCTCTACGTCAATGTGTTAAACTCAACACTGTTTCGACTTCAGAACCTCACTTAGAATGGACATTCTATATTTATGTATCCCTTTCTATCAATCAAATTTTCAGAGTTTATTTTCGATTGTATCAACATTTTACCTGCAGTCATACGTTCTTCCATATATGCCTAGATGTTCTGTGAATAGTTTTAATCCAGGATGAATATATTAGCTTTATGTGTCGCACAGAGCTAACCTGAATGAAAAGAACGTCGTTTTAAAGCTGGAGCAATGACAATTTCTTTTTTATTTTCCTTATTTTACTTTCGGAGAACAAAATGTGGCTCAATTGATAAAGCTCCTGGTTTGATTTTGGGAGATGCCCTGTTTGAATTTCGGACAGGATACCTGTTAATATGCTGAGATTTATCTCATTATTCCTCAGTCCCTCTAAACAGATGTTGGGATATTGCCTCAAATTAGGCCACGACCAATGTTTTTCACTTTCTTCTCACTTAATTAATCACAAATCAAATTCCTATTCCACGCTGTGGTCTGCAATAGTGACACTGTTGTTCAATGAATCACAGATAGAAACTTAATTTTATTTGTAGGAAATTAATAAATTACCATTTGAGCTTCACTCAAAGTAGGGATTAAATTCGGCCAATACGAACAGAAATAAAATCCATGGACAAATTTTAGTTCAAACCCTGACACTCTATGCAATATTGAAATCGGTTTAACGGTTAATTTCCTACTGGCAGACACTGCGTTACATGCCTCTAACTCATACACTTAGGAACCATGATTAACTGCATCATTACAGGCCACGACATGACACGCAGAGCTATGTGCATCCGCGTCTTGTTCCTGACAGCTCACATGACGTCCGTAGTGTTGCTAGCGGCCTATTCTGCAGGCCTCATCTCCACACTCACTGTAGAAACACTGAACCTGCCGTTCACCACCTACGAGGAACTACTGAACATGGGTACTCACATGGCCGGCGTTGTCAACAACTCGGCAGCAATAGCGCTCTTCAGCGTAAGCAAACACCCTGTCACACGTTTAGTNACGAACTTGAACCATCTCGAGCATCATTTGCTCTGTGCTTCAAGTCGCTGCTGATGACGCTGCTTCCGGCATCAGTTTTTGGTGTCTCTCTTCGTCTGATGCCTACCCTTTGACCTGTCCAGCAAGGGAGGCCCTGCCAGTAGCTACGCTACCGCTGGTATAGCTCTCAGGGTCCTTGGCATACTCAAACCCCCTCACCACGATAAGGTGGAGACACCAACGAGGGGGTAATTTTATTTGTAGGAAATGAATAAATTACCATTTGAGCTTCACTCAAAGTAGGAATTAAATTGGGCCAATACGAACAGAAATAAAATCCATGGACGAATTTTAGTTCAAACCCTGACACTTTATGCAATACTGAAATCGGTTTAACGGTTAATTTCCCACTGGCAGACACTGTGTTACATGCCTCTAACTCATGCACTTAGGAACCATGATTAACTGTCTCATTACAGGCCACGACATGACACGCAGAGCTATGTGCATCCGCGTCTTGTTCCTGACAGCTCACATGACGTCGGTAGTGTTGCTAGCGGCGTATTCTGCAGGCCTCATCTCCACACTCACTGTGGAAACACTGAACCTGCCGTTCACCACCTTCGAGGAACTACTGAACGTGGGTACTCACATGGCCGGCGTTGTCAACAACTCGGCAGCAATAGCGCTCTTCAGCGTAAGCAAACAGTCTGTCACACGTTTAGTTCTTTGCTTCTGGTCCCTTCATGCTGGGAGTTGGCAGTGTTTATACTCAGGGGCTAAATGGAGACCTTCCGAGTTTACTGCAGGAAAGAAAACTCGCGATAAAAATAAAGGAAAGTAAATCAGTAAATACACATTTAATGAGAGCCTGGAAGGGCCCAGACCAGATCTGAAAATCGTGACGAAAAGAAAACCGTGTCCTCTCGGGAATCGAAGCCTGATTTTCCAGGCTAGTCACTATAATGACTTACCCCCACCGGCCCTCTCATTGGCCATGTGTGCATGAATAGAACTTCATGAAGGTATACGCGTTAAGGACCAGACATAACTTTCGTCCGTATGTGAAAATTCTCGGTCGCAATCCATTGATTTTAATAAGCCTGAAGTTCCCTTAAATAAGATTTAATTAAAAACTTCAGTACCTACCACATACAAAACATATTGCTTTCCAATAACAAGGATCAATCGGTTAACGCTGTTTAGGGAGATGATCGTTTTTCATCCCCAGAAATGTAAGAAGTGCATAAATACACTCATTGGATAAGATGCAGGTTTCCATAACTTTAAGAAATGTGGTACATACAGTAACTAAAGAATAAATTTGTCTCTGTTTGTATGGGCAGTGGCGTAAAGCTACACAATTCTTGATCTCGGCACTATATGGAGATGAGGGGTCAGTTTCACGCTCCTTCTGCTTTAGCCTTGGGGGATAAAAATACCGCTATCAATTAGATAGCAGACTTGTTGAACCCCAGAGGATGCCTGGACGCTGTGATGTAGATAAAAATTTCTTGATCCTGCCGGGAATTGAACCCCTGCCTTCCAGCCCTTAGCCCGTTGCTGTAAAGAGTGAGATGTCCCGACCCCACGTGCAGTAACTATTGTATTTTTAAGTGCTGAAAAGTGAAGAATAATCTGAGTGAGTTCCCGTCTGGAATATGAAGACGCAGCAACTTCAAAATTTATAGTGGATTCGACTTGAATTCCTTGACGCCAGCTGCCTGTGTAGTGACNATAATCTGAGTGAGTTCCCGTCTGGAATATGAAGACGCAGCAACTTAAAAATCTATAGTGAATTCCTTGACGCCAGCTGCCTGTGTAGCAATGATTTTAAGTGCTAGTTTCTGTGTTGAGATCCGTTACTAGGAGACGACCAGTGGAAACTGAGAAACCTAGTGCGTGTGCATCGGTAAATTGTAAATTGTGTAAATCATCAGTAGCGCTGTATTAAGTGTGATTAAGAGAACTTGTAACCGACTTGCCAATAGTCCATCTTCCGAACTAGAACCTGTTATTTACGTGTAGTCATGCGCACGTGAAAATATAATTCTAATGTACCATCCCATCACTTATTCCCATGCTGAGCGAGATGAATCTTGTCCACACTCTCGCGCAGTTTCTTTAAGGTCCATTTTAATAATATCTGCCCTTCTACACCTAGGTCTTCCAAATGAACTCTCTGCTTCAGCGTTTTCAATTAAAAATATGTGTTTATCCTTTCGCGCATGCTTTTTGCATGTTTATCATGCCCCACTCCTTTATTTACCAATCCAAAAAAGAGTGTAGTTTAGCTTTAAATGAATTTAAATATATCCCACACACAGGAGACGAATGATCTGTTACTGAGCGGACTGTACAAGAAACTGATGACCACAGACCCAGACAACTTTCCTCATTCTACCCTAGGAGGTCTTCAGCGTGTCTGTTCCATGAAGTTCGCCTTCGTAGCCCAGATGTCACGAATGGAAAGCGTCAGACATGACATCCCTTGCAAGATAGTCGGCCTGCCAGCCACCTCTATAAAGGTGAACTTAGCCATCGCTTTCGCAAAGGGCAGTCCATACAGAGACATCATAAACCACAAGTAAGTAACATGCAGTTTGCTGGCAAATCTGTATCCATGCGCGTATCGGCTGCAATGCTCGGGGGTACCGAGTGTACACCTCGTTATGAGCATACATGTAACTTAAAACATTCCCGGTTCGTGAAGATGTAATTCTCTTGGCTTGTGTTCGGGGAGTGTCCTGTTGGACACAGACACTGTCCTGCAGTGATTCTGCCTCTTCAGTTCCTTCAGGCAAACATCGATTGACGAGTGACACCTCAAATAAGTCACAATTGATTCCTTCCACATTCCCTCCAGTTCAATATAATGATTATTGTCACGTGTTTATGGCTCCGTGACGAACAATAACGGATTTGGATTGGATGGCTGTAGTTATTAACATTTATTTTACAATATCTCTTAATCACAATTACAACAGCTCACAATAAATGACTGCCTAAGACTCGCTTCATTCTGACTGGATTACAATTGTCTTCTCTTCTAGTCTGTCTTCTACTGTGACCGACTTTGTTCGGGTTTACGAACTAATTACTTCTTGGTTCTCCTTTTTACTCTGGGTACGCGGTAGCGTAGTTGGTTGAGGCATTATGCTACAAACCGGAAGGTCCCGAGTTCGAGTCCCAATAAGGTGAATTTTTTCAATTGACCTAATTGTTCCAGTCGCTCTATGATCCTGGGTTCGACTCAGCCTCTTAAAGAAATGATTACGAGGAATCTTCCTTGGGGGGAATAGGCGGCCTGTGTGTAAGGCTAACAATCTTACCGCTATCTATGAGCCGACTGTCTAGAAAATGTGGGAACCTCGACGTCTCAGAAACCTATGGGCTTCCATGGCCTGTTACAGGGATACTTTTACCTTTTTACCTTCTCCTTTCTACTGCAACTGCCGCCGTTCTTATCTGAACGGACGCTTATATAGCCTAGCGGTATCCATGGAAGTGTTTATTGAATGCTCGTATCATGGAAATGTTTGTTCAGTGTTCGTTTAAACGGAAACTTATTTTGCACCGAATTGGTCTCCAGGAATCCACCTCCATGGAAATGTGTTTTATCCCTCGTTGTTTCCTAGACACGTGCCTACATGGAACAATATTCGTAATCCTCCAATAACCACACACCATCCACGGAACCCACACAGTACCACGGTATGTAGAACATAAATCTAAAACACAACACAGCAGCTACTTTTAGAATAATGAACTATAAAGATCATCACAATGAAGCAAATACTACCAGATCTACCGGATAATGACGACCATATAAGGTCTCAACATATAAAGGAATAACAGCTTATCACACGAACTGCCTACAAGTAAGACAAGAATTTGAAATTTAAGGGCCGTCCACGCAAATCAAATGAACACGTATTCACTAATCGCGCTACCCTTCGAAGCTACGTACACTGAGTTACTGACATAAAACATAAATAAAACATGCCACTAATAAGCACACGTATTTTTCACCTGTGGGGGGCACGCGGTAGTGTAGTTGGTTGAGGGGCTATGCTACAAGCCGGAAGGTCGCAGCTTCAAGTCCCGATGAGGTCATTGGATTTTTTGAGTTGACCTAATCCTTCCGGCCGCACTATGGCCCTGGGGTTCACTCAGCCTCTAACAGAAATTAGTACCAGGAATTACCGTATTTACGCATGTATAGGCCGCGTGCGTGTATAGGCCGCAGCACAATTTTCAGACAGAAATTATAGAAAAACTAATTTTCTTGGAATATTATTTCAGGAGTATTACACCCTGTATTACTAATTATGAATATAATTTTTTTTAATGAAGTGTGATTTCGAATATTTCGAATATAAGCCGCATCCCAGTTTTCCTCTTGAATTTTTGGCAAAAAATGTGCGGCCTATACATGCGTAAATACGGTAATTAAAAATGATTTTCCTGGAGAGTAAAGTGCGGCCGGCGCG